CGCTCACCAACACAAACAGAACAAAGAGACATAATCAACGGCTTCTTTTACTCTTAAATTTGCAGAGGCACCATTGGCCTGGTCTTGCCCAGAGGTGGGTCCAAAATTGGAGCCAGGGGAGCTTCTTGAAGCCTCTTACAGAAGCCACCTCTGTAGCCCACTCCCCCTCTACCAAAACCCCACCAGACATCAAACCACCACATCAACCAAAAAATCTGACTGCCTCTTTCCTTTCACATTCCTCTTGTAGATGTCACGGATGAGGTGACCATCGGGGTAGGTTTCAGCTAGAATGGAAACCTGCAATTTTTGTCAGATGTTATCTCTTCAAAATGCACTGCCTTTTTCTCCATAGGACTGGTAGGGAGAGTCTATAGTAAGGGTACTGGCAAACTAAGCTGTGGGTTTAGAGACAGTACAGGTTTCAGAGATACTCTTTACAGTTTGAAAATGGGAAATACCATCAATAATGTTAATATCTCTAACCATTTTGGGCGTGCTCATTGAGTGTGTTATTCATATCCTTTTTCAAAACGCATTTTATATTCTTGTGCTGAACCTGTCATCATCCCCATTGTAACACGTACTAACCCCAGGCTGAGAGATGGGAATAGAAAGACAGGCTGACAAGAATCCGTTTTAGCACCTAGAAGCTAGATGTCTTTGGTTGCCTGCCCTTTAGCCACTGCAACAAGCCATGTCTCAGAGATGGGTTTTGCTTTCAAAGTAAAATGCAACTATATGGCCATCTTAGGGATCTGGACAGTTGAGCTATAAAAACCCTGTTGTTTCTGACAGCAGCAGAACTCACAGCTCTGTGCAATTCGCTTTCCATATTTCATAGTTACCAGTTATTATGCTGTGCTGCGCACACACACACTGCAAGCAGGAAGTAGGAGCAGCTCAGCTCTTGGCTTCCTTGGTCTCAAGAGACTGCCATGAAACTGAAAAACACTAAACTAAAACCTAAGTATCTGTTAGACCTTTAATTAGCGACCTAAGGAGTGTTTGCCAAGAGGAAATTTGAATTCAATTATCCAAATAGAAAGTATTTAACCTCTCAATAGCACTCAAGTAATTATAATACTTGGGGTTTTTTTCAGGAACATTAAAAAATAAAACAAAAAGCAAATCCAAAATGGTAGATGGTGTCAATTTTATATCACATGGAATATACAAAGGAACATTGTCCGTGCTTTAGACCCCTCATGTTACGTAGAAAAGGGCAGCCTTAAGCAGGGAGAGCAGGTTGCAGGATTCTTAATTTCCCCACCGAAACAGCCAGCAACAGCATCAGGGCTAACAGTGATAGTTTTAAGTGCATCGGTACAACAATAAACACACAAGTAAGATCAGCCGGTCATCTCACACAGCTTTTAATGAGATAAAGATACTCAGTCAGTGTCAGAAGGACTAGGACGCATCAGAAGAGGCTGTATGTTCCAGTATGTTTTGCAAACATTAGTTGCTACCAACCAAGCCATTTGCATTTCAGATTGCAGCAGCCGTTTCAGCCCTGATCCTGACTGTCCTTTCGCTACACATCCACCCAAAAGTTTCCAGAATTAATCCCAAGGAAAAAAAAGCCAATATTTTCTTGCTCCTCTCTTCACAGACTGTAGATTGCTTTGGGATTATGTTTATCAGCTGCTTTCTGACAGCCGGTACGAAAATTTCATCCGATGGGAAGATAAGGAATCCAAAATATTTCGGATAGTGGATCCCAACGGGCTGGCCCGGCTGTGGGGAAACCACAAGGTAAGGAAGCAATGCGATTTTCCTCCTATGGCACTTCACCTCTTGTAACATCACAGAATTCACTTATAAACAGGGGGGGAAAGGAAGAAAGCGTGTGCATATGAACTACTGCTGGGAAGTTGTAATCTTTCATTCTACGCACATGAGAAATATAAAGCATCCAGCCTCCAGCACTAAAACCTACCCTTCATGTAGAGAACCGGTTTGTTTGGTTTAAAGGCATTTAATTATAAAATTACAAGGAGTGCAAGAATTAACGGTCCTTCTCTCGCAAGGCATCTCATTTCGTCCTGAAACTTGATGCTAAGGAGGTTCTGGTTAGATATGGTCTGCAAGGAGCTGTATACTACATCTTGGCAGGAGCTTTCTGTCTGTCTTCCTGTCTGCACCAACATTCAGGTTTCACACGCTGTCTTGTGACAGACACCAAATGCTGCAGGATTATGTATTTCCTTTTAAGAGGGTAATTCGGCTTTGTTCTCTGGAAAGGCAGTTACTGATTTTTGCAGTTTGGGGCTGAGTATGTGTAGATATATCTGTATGAGTATATATAGATATACATATGATCTATATATATAGTCTATACATATGAGTATATTCAAATGAATATATGAGTAGCCAGCATGGACTTAAAAAAGGGAAATCATGCTTGACCACTGTGATAACTGTCTATGATGAAATTCTTAGCTCAGTGGCTACAGGGACAACAGTGGACATAGCTTATCTTGATTCTATAAAGGCTTTTCAGACTGTCTCTATAATATCCTTATAGGCAATCTAGAAGTATGACCTAGACAAGAATATAGTGAGGTAGATTGAAAACTGGCTGCAAAGATTGTGATCCAACAGCACAAAATCCAGTCACTAGTGGTGTTACCCTGGGGATTGTTTCTGGGTCCGATGCTGTTTAACATGTTCATTAATGAGCTGGATTTTGGGACAGAGTGAACCTTCAGCAAGTTCTCAGACATTACAAAACTGGAAGGAGTGGCTGATACACCAGAGAGTTGTGCTGCCATCCGGAGGGACCTGGTCATGTTGGAGAAATGGGCCAAAGGGAATTTCATTAAACTTAAGAAGGGGCAATGTAAAGTCTTCCACCTGGGGAGGAATGACCTGGGGAGGTGTGGGACATCACGTTGCCCCTTGTTAGGTCTCGTGAGACCCCAGGTGTGGGACTGTTCTACACGAAGATGGTCAGACAGGGGAGCAGGTTGCCCAGAGGAGACTGTGGAGTCTTCATTCTTGGAGATGTTCAAAACCCAACTGGACACAGTCCTGAGCAACTGTGTCTGGTTGACCCTGCTTTGAGCAGAGGGACTGCCCTAGGTGATCTCCAGAGGTGCCTTCCAACCTAAACTGTTCTGTGATTCTGTGTATGAGTATACATAGCCTGTAATCTTGATAAGGTCAAGATTTTCTCATGTGACTTGTTGCTTACAAGAACATCTGTCTTAGGGGTCTTGGGCTGCAACAATAGAGAGTCCTGCTCGTACCTAACCTCCCTGCGAATCATCAGGCCTTGCCATCATGCCCCGTGTTGGGTGTCTAAAACTGAAGCTACTTCAGACCACTAGCCACTTGGGAAATGCAGTGGCCTTTTAGCATATAAGAAATGGAAAAAGCACACATGGTATTTCAAGGGGCTTCCCAATGAGTGGAATCTAGATTTTACAGGGAAAACATTGTCATTGTTAGTGTTTAACTGCCACGGGAGCTCTTTATGTGGCCTCCCTGTTGCGGTCAGGGCAAGCAGAGGAGGGCAGCCCTTAGGGGGCATTTTAAACAGGCAGATCAGTCTCATTTAATAAAGCCAGGTCAGCACTATAGCCTTCTGCCTGATCTTGGACTGACAGAGCTGTGCCAAGCCAAACTCCTAAGATGGAGGCTCCCAGTGCAAAAGCATGCTTCTACTAGTTTGGCATGTTTTGCCCATGGCAAGGCGGCTGCTTTATACTCGTGCAAACACGGCTTTGCCAGTGTAGTTGTCTCTCTGCTGGGAGGTTCTTTGCCAGCAATAGTAACCAGTGCTCCTTGTGCCAGAAAAATGCTCTTCATGTAGACGTAGCCTAAGGGACGGATCCTGTTGTCCCAAGTCAGCACTATGGAGGCTGCCCACATACAGCTCTGCCAGTGCCCATCACTTCTGCCTTGTGACACTGAGCTTCAGCAGGGCCATACCTCAGTCGCCCCGCAGTGCTCTGGCTATGGCCTTTAGGGTCAGCAGCTCCCAAAATGAAGGGGAGGGTCCGTCACAGAAGCAGGTGCACAACGTAATGAACTTCTTGATTTACACCTGTATAACAAGAGGAGAAACAGGCTCTCAGTCTCCACAGTGCTCTGTAAGCATTAACTAGTTAATGGCGGGGAATCCCAGAGGAGCAGTGCTCTTAGCAGGGATTGCTGACAGATTTAGTCTATTGGTCACTGTTCTTATGCTTTTACGAAAGGTGGTTTCATTAAGAACAGGCCTGTCACGTCCCACTTGGCACGAGCATCTCCCTCCATCTAATGTCTCCTCTTGTGGTTGTTGAAGCCTTTTGTTATCTGTGGTCCAAGAAACTGTAGAAAAACCTCACTTGGAATTTTCGTTAGACTTTCTTGCTTAAATTGTCCTGAATGAAAAGAGACCCATAAAATTTGTTGATGAGGGCTGGAGGGGCAGGATGTCCCTGCAAACAGCAGAAGAGTGGAACATGTAATTCCTTGAACTGACTTGGTTACTTTAACTAGCTATGATAGTTCTGCAGCTCCTTTTGGGGCTTAGGAAGGTTTTAATGAGTCATCTCACCACGTTTTTCCTTTTTCTTTTGAAAAAACAGAACAGAACAAATATGACTTATGAGAAAATGTCCAGAGCCCTACGCCACTACTACAAACTAAATATTATCCGGAAGGAGCCAGGACAAAGGCTTTTGTTCAGGTAATTTTTTCTTTTCTTTGCCATTCCTTTCTACAGACAATTAATTTTTGAAGACGGAGGATGGAATTGTGTATGTGGGATACTTCATTGCCACAGCTGTAACACAGGTCACAGTGGACATAAGTTTGTAAAAGCTGCGTAGACCAGTGCTTCCTAGCTTTCAAGGCAACCGCACCAATTTACAAAAATATGGGCCTGTTTCAATGATCAGTGGAGTCAATGAAAGTCTTTTCACTCACTTCAAGCAGGCTGTGCCATCGTTTAAGGCCCTAGCTAAATGATTCATGATCTCAGCCAAACTGCTGGAAAACCCACTCCAGGCTGACTTCTCAAACACAGCTGCCGGTGAAAGCTAAGCAGGGATCAGGCATTTCCTCAAGCGCATCAGCATGACAGAAGAGAAGTGCTGGTGACCGTGTCTTCAGCAGTGCCACCTTCAAGGAAGAGAGGGACCTGCAAGAGCTGTTCATAAACCCTAGCGCATCGGAATGGATGATACAACCAAGAATTTAGGAAACGGTGCCTGAAACAGCGTTAAAGCAAGGACGTACTTGTACAAACTTGAGTGCGGCTGGCAGAGAGCGGGAGCGCTCCGGTTCTCTTCAGACGAGACCAGCGAATCCTAGTGCATACGTCTCACCCACAGAGCACTGAACTCAGACCAAAGACTGCTTTGATGTCAGTGGTCTGGATCTAGTAATGTGCTTGGAAATGATATCAATAGGAAGGCAGTCTTGGAGTTCGTTTTCTTAAATAGCTAACAGAACTGCATTAACACTTAAACTATCTACAGCTGAAAGGGTTTCTGTGGAATGTCTTGTTTATGTCAGCTCTTAGAAGGAGCCTTAGATGGGGGAAGGAGAGTGAAGGGAAGAAGGAATCACAGGCAAAATCAACTGTGTGATTTTAATTTTTTTTTTACGGAAAGTTAAAACAAGGTTGCTCCGTCAGCAGCAGTACCAAGGGAACCTGGATTGCTGTGGCCTTGTGTGAAGACTGCACTGCCCTGGGGGAGTTCTGTGATGCTGAACAGTGAATGTGCTTATCTTGGAGCCTCTCCTTCAGTGGGGGCAACAAACGTAACAGGAGTCCATCTCTTCTCAACCAGGCTGCCTATTTTCTCAAAACTGTAGAAACTCAACACCCTTGGAGACCTCAGTTCCTCTGTCAGACTTGCCCAAAATTGACCAACAGATTCAAAGGTCACCAGGAAGCATAAAACATGAGCATATAAACCTCATTTCCTTTGGAAACTGGGGGGAAAAAAACCCAACAAAGCATTTTTTGCACAATTCCCAATAAAAACTTATTGATGTTGTTTTCTTAGACCTATTTATATCTGAGGAGAAAAAGAAGAACAGCTGCAAAAAATCAAGCCATTAATGTGCCTTTCTCGGCCATTTCTCGCAAGCACAGAAATAATAGGAAATGTGACTTTATAAGTAACATGCAGGCAGTTGTCATCTGCAGATATCTGTACAGAGCTTTAAGTAAAATGGAGTCAGAGAAGGATTTCTAATAGGTTGCCCGAGTGTCTTCTGCAACAGAAGAGGTCACAGATACTGTTTCTTCATTAGCTTGTAGTTCTGGGTTGTTTTTTTTAAAATTTAATCAAATGCTATTACAAATGCCCATGCTTTGAGTTCCCTGACATGACTTAAAACACAGACCAAAACGAATACTCAAAGTACTGTGGTACAGCTCGCATCAGCCCATTTCCCACATGGTTTAGGAAACAGAGCAGACAGAAGGTAGGGAGGGCAGTGGGATCACTCTCTGTTTTGATTTCATCCTCATGCGAGATCAACAAGACAAGCACAGGGTTTAAATCAGGGCACAGTCTGGCCCGTAGGCTTTGGTGTTTTCACTGTGTAGCCAGGGACTGATTCACCACTTCTGTATGCTAGTTTTTCACCACCGTAACACCGTTTATATCAGCAGCGTTCTTCCAGCATACAAATGGGAGTGACACAGCAGTGAGTCACAGCCTTTTCTTTTTTTTTTCCCCTAAATGCATATGTGCACATGATTTCCAAAATTAGAAGGGGTGACAAAAGGTTAGTTCCAGGCTGTGCTGTGCGTTTGCTGAGAGACTTCAGATTTTTCAGATGGAAAGCCCTCAGCTTTATAACCTCAGAGGCAGAAGAGGCAAGTCTTGCCCATTAGCTTCAGCAGTGATTTTTCTGGGTCACTAATAGTAACGAGGCTCCTGTCAGTTGGTTTTGTTTTCACTGGGGCAAGGATACTGGGCATATCATCAACCTGAAATAAAATTAGCTCCTCTGATTAACACATTTTGTACTGCTGAATGTTAGCCAGTACATCGTTAATGAAAGACTGTGAAATTCTGTAACACTTCCAGCACAAACATCTTTCATCCTAATTTCTCCAGAAATACTTATGAGTTAGGAAAGTGATTTGTGTTTAAACTAGGATTTCATCCTTCCTGTGCCACTCTCTCTTCCTACGCTATTAAATTCAGAAAGAAAAAGCAGAGCTTTTCCGTGCTTTCTCTGTGCAGTAGTGCACAAAAGCATCCTGGCAAAGATCAAGACTGCAGACTTGATCTGCAGGCTGGTGGATGTCCTTTCCCATTTCCTACTGCTGCCACGCCTCCCCAGAGACAGTTTCTGTTTCTAGCCCCCTGCAGACTTACTGCATGAAGACATTAGTGCTGGGGGCCGTGGCATTCATTTACAGAGGATGCTGCTTCATTACAATTACGCTTGCTACAGCCACACAGGAAGACACTGTCTTTGCTCACAGTTCCCTGGCCCAAAAGCTTTTTCTTTCAGGGCTTCTTCCGTTTCCCAGAACTTGTTCTGACTTGGTCCTTGGCTTCTTCCACCACTGTTCCTTTGGCGTTTCATATTCCTCTTCACTCACCTACACACAAGGCTGCACAAACCAGTAGCCCTCTGCCTCTCCATGCCTTGCAAGTGCTTTCGCTTTGAAATGTGCTGGCCATAAAGGTCTTTAATGTTTCTGTCCCCAGACACCATAAATGAGTGTACCTGTGGTGTACAGTCATCTTACATGACAAACAATATGAGGGAGAAGAAGTCAATATCATTCTTTGAAAAAGACTGTGGGGTTTGGTTCTGATTTGGACTTTCAAGGACCAGGAGTAAATGCCCGTGGGGTTTTTTGGTTTACATTCAAGGTATGGAGGAGGGAAGACACCAGTAGGCTGGGGAGAAGCTGGGAAAAAGTCATTGGGAGGATACAGCAAAGATGATTTTGGGAGCTGTAGAGTTCAGGGGCCTTAAAGTCTTGATGAAGGTAAAAGCTGAGAGCACTGGGAAATCCGCTTGTTTCTCTGTTTTGCAGGTTCATGAAGACCCCAGATGAGATTATGAGTGGCCGAACAGACCGCCTCGAGCACCTTGAATCCCAGGAACTGGATGAACAAATATACCAAGAAGATGAGTGCTGAAGGGAACTGGTGCACCGCCTCTGTGGGTCTATGGGAGAAACATCTGCCCAGATGGCTGGCACAGTTTGGGAGGGGAAGCAACAACCCAGCAGCAGTACTTGGGGTCGCCGCTTAGCTTGAAGACCACGCAGGACCTGAAGCACCTTAACAAAACAAACTAACAGGCAGAAGTGGTGCTGGCAGAAAAGTAAAGGGGAGAAAGCCTGGACTTATGCACTACTTCACTGTTCCTACAAAGTCTCCCTTGAGTTCTTTCTTTCTTCTTGGTTTGTTTCAGTTTTGGGGGTTTTTTGTTGTTTTTTTTTTTCCCTAATAAACATGCAGTTTGACTTTCCTTATCTCACATAGGACAAGACGTCAGATTATGCTTTTTTTTTTCTCAGAAGGCTTTCCTATGGAAATAGAACGCTCTTATTTTCTGTGCAAGTCTCATGACATAACACTGCATAAAACAATAGCGTCACAGAAGGGATTTGCCCAAGGGTTCCAGTTTGCTCGGATCAATTTACATGTGCTGCCACTGGGAAATGTGTTGAAGCTACCAAAAGAATTTACCACACATACCTGTCAAATGAAGAGGAGTCACCCTTCACGTGTAGGCTGGGAGATCATACCAGCATAGCTTGGGCTCACAACGAGCCCTGCGAGTGGCTGTTAACTGCTGGAATACGGACCAAAACCAATCACCTAAGTGCTCCGGGGAGGAGAAAAATAAATGTGACAAACCTCTGCAATAGACTGATGTTGACGTTTTCCCTCCCTCTAGCAAAGAAGTGATAGAGTGGAGCAGAGGGGGAGGGAGGGCGGGGGGAAATATATATATATACGTGTGTATATATAGAAACGTTTCGTGTGTGTGTGTATATATATATATATGTATATATATGTAACCCCCACAATATATCCACAATGCAGAATTTCAGCTCAAAGCTTTCTATAAAAAAGCAAAGGCTGAAGCATCTGTAATTACAAAAGGGAGGGGTGTTTCTTACACCTGCTAGCAATTTTGGGCTGAAAGGTGAAGGACTCTTTAACGTCGTAGGGAGAAAGCAAAGGGACCCATCACATGGTTTGTATTACTCAGAAACCTCTCCAGAATCGTTTTGTGCTGCTGGAGAGGTAGATGATTCACCAGTCTGAAAACTGATGGTAGAGAACTAGAGACCAAATAGCTATACTTATATCTTGTAATTGATTTTGGCTTTGTTTTGGGATTTGTTTTTTTTATGCCTCCCACTACCCTCCCCCTCTCCACAGCTCTGCCATCAAGGGAGCTTGTCTCAGCTTGCCCGTTTTTAACATGATTTAAGACAAGAAAAAAAGAAACCCTACAGCTGTGTTGTTTTCTTGGGTTTTGGTTTTGTTCTGGGTGCAATGTGCCTCATTTGTTACACCCCCGTTTTGTTTTGCTGCACTGAGGGTGCTTTGCAGGAGGCGAAGAGCTGTGCCTAGTTCGGCTGCAGGAAGCTCAGCAGTCCTGGATGCCCAGAGAAACAGCAGGCCTTTTTCATTTAGCCTTGCTTGGGCCACCATGACAGGAAAGTCTGTGGTGTCCAGGCGTCCAGCGATCCATCATCAGTGGTCCTTTTAGTGGAAGGAGGATCAGAAATGGTGCTTGCAAAGGGAGAAGATTTATAGAGAAACTGCAGGAATCACATGGTGTCTGGAAGAAAGCACGTCCACACCAGTTCATTAAAAACAGAAAGCCTCTTTTATGGGAACACGCATACTAGAAATGGAAAAAAATCAATGGGCCAATCTAATCTGTTTCAACCAAAAAACAAGGTACATTCCCATGATAGAGCTTTTATCAGCTATTAAACCAACACAACATTTGATCTTACCACATATTTAACAAGAGGGTTAATCTATCCAGGAAAAAACGGCACTCGGCAATGAATAGTGTGCCCTGTTTAAACAGAGATAGTCCATTCTCACAAAAGACTTCATATTGAGTCACAGGTCCTAGAAGGAACAGCTTTGTTAAGGGTGTAGATAGGCATCGTACAAAGAGGAGATATTTTCAGAGCCAGTATCTGATGAGGAATGACAGGGTGTACATCTCTCCCTAAGCTTTTGCCAGCCACATCTTTTTATTAAATCGTAGTCAATATGTTACAAGTCCCAGCACACCACGTACTTGGCTTTTTCTGCCTCAAAAGAAAAGGCGCAGGAGCGCGCACCAGAAAGATGAGCAGACAGCCTGTCACTTGTCTCTGCCGTGACTCTCAAGTCCATGGAGCTCAGGAGGTGTGAGATTGGGAGACACTGAGGGACTTCAGTGGTCACAGATCTGAAACGAAAGGTCCCTTGAAACCAAGAGGCCAAGGAGTTACTCTGCTCTGTCACCCTGCTCAAGGGCACCCAGGTTGCGGCCATGTCTCAGGAGCTGGGGTGAGGAGGGTGAGGTGAATATGAATGACAGATGAAGGGTGATCAGAAATATCAGTGTAAAGAAAGGCTCTTGCTGGTTTCTTGTGTTTCTTAGGATATTCAGTGGTAGAAAGAAACCAAGTTTGTGCAGAGAACAATTCATACCCTTTACTGCTCTGGCTGTGACAACTGCATAACTGCATTGTTTTCTTTTGCCTGCTGCAGCTACCGTTATGAGATGGTGAGGGGGAAAAAAGACAATAGGACCTTCTATATAAAGTGGTCTGCTGAGCCACGGGTTTTTGTCATGTCCAAGGTCCACACTGCAAGATACAAAGAGAGACTCCACCAGTATAAGCCCATATGTTCTAGCAAACAGAAGTTCACCCTCAGCATTGGGTAAGACAGGAAAAAACCACGGAATCCTGAAATCACATGTTGTCCCATAGGGAAATTTTCTAGGGGAAATTTTGTAGAGGAAATGTTCACCTTTACCAAAAATGTAGTCACTTTCTCCTGCAGAATCTAAGTCAAAGGGAAAAAAAATACTTGGTGGCTGTTGGAAACTCTTCAGTTCACACATAAAGGACATCTTAACACAACTTCTCCACTGCAACCACAGAGAAGTAGTTCTCTCAAGGTTGGTGCTAGTTGGAATGAAAATAGCCTTTGGACTTGGAGCAGACCGATCCCAGAGAGTCCCCTCCTGGGTGATGCTGTCCCCTGCCTCCTGCCAGGTCTGCATGATGCAGCAGTGAGTGGCACAGGTGACGCTGCAGCTGCCAGAGCTGCAGGGGCTTGGGACCTGTTACGGGAGCTGCAGGATTTGAACTGCTCCTGGGGGCCTTGGAAGCAAATTTACCAACTATGACTAAAAATAAAAAAAATAAAACCAGGCTAGAGCAGCTGCAGCAGATAGATTCCCAAATACCTCACATCCAAATGGAAGATACATGGAGTGCAACCACAGCGTTAACGTACTGAGCTATAGGGATGCTCCCCGTCTGGGCTAGCAAAGGGAGCGCTGTCTTTCCACCAACCCTCACACCCGCTTTCCCTCCCCAGTTTCTGATTTCCCAGTGCAGCGTTTGCCAGCAGCAAAGCAGCCAAACTTTCTACCTTTGCCACCAAAGCAAGTGGGAAAAGGGAGAAAGAGTCTCATCCTTGGAGACAAACAAAAGCCCTCTGGACATGGTCCTGGGCAACTGTCCCAAGATGGCCCTGCTTGAGCAGTGGGCTTGGACCAGATGACCTGCAGCGGTCCCTTCCATCCTCAACACCCAACAAAGGATCTTCACACCGTCCAGTTAAGCGGGACTTTCATTGACATCAGCTTGCTACAAGCCTGAACAAGCCACAGGCCGGTCAGGTAGGGCACGCTACAGTTCCACAGCAGAATATTTTCTGGATTTAAGTTTGAATCCTTTTGACTGCCTCTCCATCCAAAGAACACTACTGGGGCCCTTTCTGTGAACACTAAGTCGCTGCCACCCTCCCCAGATTTCAAACTCCACGCATGCAGATCACCAGATCTCTTTTATTCAGACTGCAACCCTGTGCAAATCCAGAATGCATCAGTTTGAGGTCTTTTTTTTAAAATAAAATTCTAGTCTTTTTATTGATGATGGCTTTTTGTTTTTTTAAGGTGTGGGGCTAAGGGACTGAATCAAATGAATGTAACAAAACAAAAACAAACAAAAAAGCCTATTCTCAGGGCCAGTGAGTTGCAAATAATTTTTAAAATGCCTGTAATTACATCATCTCAATAAAAAAAGTTTAATATAAAAGCAGGAATTATTTTGTTGGTGAAATCATTGCTACAAGATTCTTTCTTTTTAAAAACTATGGTACCCCAAGTGTCTACAGCACACAGCAGATGTTTTCAATCAGGAAAAGAAACCTGCAGGCTTCCCGTGCCCAAACATGTATGAACAGTGCCTGGATCTTCCCTGGGAAGCGTTGTTCGGAAAAATTAAGGCTGTCCCTTGGAGTATTTGCTGCCTGCCCTGAGAGATGAGCAGAGCACCCCACTAGTGCCTAGATGTGTTTACCTGGTTCCCCTCCCTTCTCTTGGCAAGAATATAGAAGCAAAAACCAAAAATGAGGTGGTGCGATGGACTGTTGCATCTTTTTTATCCTGCTAAACAGGCCAGGTCAAGGAGCTGGAGAGCAAGACGTCTTCCTGTAGTATTCATCTTTGCAAACCACTCTAGAAACCCTGCCTTCTGTCCTTCCTATGCTGTCCTTCCAGCACAGGGGGACCTTATTTTCCTATCTTCACCCCTAACCAAGCGAGGCACAGGGACATCAGTGCCACCAGGTGCTTAGGGCACAGCGAGGTGAGGCGGCACAAACTGCTCACCGCTGTCCATCACTCCCTACGGCAGACCGTCTCTCCTGGGGCGTGGGGTTACTAGCCCTCACGGCAGTGTGAGGCCCCTGAAGGGTTTAACGTGCTGCTCCAAATAGGTGCCACCGAACGCCATGGCAAGCACATCTGGGCAGCGGCACACAGGCCGCATCTCGTGCTCTCTGGTGGGAGCAATTCACGGCAGGCTAAAGCGCTTGGATCGCAGCTCTGGCTCAGGACGACCCCATGATAATCTGGCTGATCTGTGGGTTATCCACTCAGCTGCTCCTCGCTCAGTATTTTGTTTTCTTTCACTGTTGTTTTTAAACCACAAGGCAAAGGAGTAAGCACTAAACAAACCCCTCTCTGAACCAAGACATCAAGCAAGAAGACAACAAAGTGTGCTGCTCCATAATTCAGTCCCTTCAGGCCATTTCCCTTCATTTTAGAAGAGGAAATAGATGTATCCTACACCTTCTCACAGCTTTGTGTGCGCTCTCAACAACAGCAAACACTGCAGGTTGAAGGCGTACGGGTGAAGTTTATTTTGGCTATCAGTGGGTTTGGCTGTCGCTCCAGTGAGGATTAGTCTCAGCTCAAGAGCTCGTCTTGAGCCCAGAGAGAGG